AAAAAAATTCAGGCTTCATTCAGGAAAAGAATGAGTCACCATATGCCTCAAGAGGGCAAAAAAAGCTTGCAAAGCACTCAAAGAACAATCGTATTTCCAAATATTTAGTTGGTCTAATCAAAGATATCACATCTACCCGAAGAACCTTGTCTGACAGACTTTTAGCAGCAGCACGGTAATGCTTAATTAATGGTACTTCAGTCCCCAGTATTCAAGTGTAATTAAATTCCACTGTCAACACACCTCCTCATTACCGCCTCTTAGAATTGTTTAAATGGTCAAGTCATAGCAAAACAAAACTATTGATTAGGTGGCATCAGCATTACACCCTGTCCCCCGTTTTTCTTCTTTTTAAAAATTTTATTCTAAAAGCAGGAATCAGGTCCTAATCTGGTTTAGGCAGAATTAGTTTCCAAAAGCCAGTCCTTCCTCCTTTAAGGGATTATTTTACCATACAGAGGGTACCCATGGTATATGTCTCTTCTAAAAGGTTTAAAATATGCTGCTGTGTTTGTATAAATTAGTAATTCATACAATGTACACATGTATAACAAATACAGTACAAGTATTTTTTAAGACAGTGCTGGTTAATATAGTAAACTTACAATATGGTAGAGTTGGGTGGGAAGCCATTCTTCTGACATTATTAATAGCCTTCTTGAGCATCTGTTCAAGACAGATAATCAGATAGTTGAATTACATAACTAACAAAACACTTACTGGACTATAGTAATTAGTGATGGGTAATATGTTTCTCTTTAGAAATTCCTATTGAAAGCAAAAGGAATATATATTTTTTTAGAAACAGTCATTCAAGTCAATGGAAGCTAAAGTTTCTCCCAAGACTAGCATATATTTAAAATATTACAAAATTTGTATTAACCCAGATACATGTAAAGCTTTTTGCTTCACAGATTTATGGCTCTAGGTATAAACACTCCTTAGACTGCAATCTTACCTCTTTTCTTGCCAATTCCTTTCTGATTCCATTAAATTTATTGGAATATTCCTGAATATTGTAAGATAAGCAAAAGAGAGGCAGAAGCAGAAGCATGTAAAAGAGAGGTAAACAGAAGCTTTAACAAAAATAAATAGGAGGGAATATTTGTTTTTTATTTCTATCTAATTTATAATCATTGGCTGAGAAAGAATTAGCATGATTTATGGCCATCCACTAGTAAACTAGTAATATAGCTTACTCCCAAAAAGCCAAAGATGTTCAAAAGCAGCTACTAAGTTCAGAAGTAAAAATCCCACAGATTTGCAACAGTGGCTTTATTCTAAATCCCAAAGGCTCCCCCAAAGTACACTGCTGAAATACTAAGTTGCCACAGGGATAATATACACCTATGGCTTGAAAAATATTACCAGGCACTAGCCAGAAATATGTCAAAGTGGGGAAGCAGACCATGACCAAGTCAAGTCCAAGAAGAGCACCCTGGTTAGAAGCCCAGTTCCACCATACTCCCTCTTAAGGAAGAAGGGAACACAGGATCCATCAATTAACACATTCTGATTAGTAAGAGATGTCAAATCTAAGGCTCCATTTTCTTTACCTATTTACTGTCTCTGATCCCCAGAGCTGTCCTGCTGTTTGTGAAGAAGTCTCAACAAGGCTGCTCCTCAGTGCCTTGTTAACTACACTGTACTGCCATTAATTGGTAAGCACAACAGACAGAACTGTCTATTTGTGTGCTAAACAAATGAGAGTCCATTAGTTTATATTCTGAATATTATCTTTCTAACCAGAATGCGTTTTGAGAGCGAGACAGATTAAGTTCTGTAGAAAGTTTGCTGCTTAGACTTCTGAAGTCATCAGGATGAGTTACTAATTCTACACTGTCAAGAGTCAACATGGGGAAATATTTCAAACCTTCTTTTGTAACTCTGTAGAATACCCTTGTCATTACTTATTCCTTAGAGCAAAAATAATTTGCATATAACATAACACACTACCCTCCCTTGCTAGTGAGATACAAATTAAAAAGGCAGTGTATAATGAGTCATCTTTATTTAGCATTATGAAATAAACTTATATCTCACCTAAGCTATTAGGAAGATCTCTAATACATAGATAGCTCTTCTGGGCATTAAAGCTGTCTTTTTGAATCAATGGAGTGACCTACTTCCTAGCTGACTAGATTTTGAAGCAGACTGGCATATTTTTAGTTACCCAAGTAAGCTCCTGTAGGCTAAGATCAAGTTTATTATTATAGGATACGTTCTCAGTGTTGGTAGCTGAGCAGCCTCAAATTTACCCAGGACAGATGTGTTTCTGAATAAAGCAACAATACAAAAAAAAAAGAAAAATACGTTTGCCTCCACATAAATTCAGTTTCTGCAGAGAACATGAGTGGCAAATTTTAAATGATAGAAAAGGATCTATTCTTGGTAGGATAATGGAAAGAAAATCAATACACCTCATTTAAGTTACTAGGAATAAGTTGTTAGAGACTTAAAGAAGTCAGTGTACTTCCATTAATATTGTTTAAACTTTTAGGTACAGAAGGTTCAAAAGAAAGTTCTCATCTCTTTTCTTTGTCAAGTTAATGGGCAAGTCTGTAAAATAAAATCTACACAAGGACTTGAGAAATCATACATACTGACATTTCATTAAGCTAAAATGAAAAAGGGATATGTTATTCCGCAACTGGACTACCAGCTATACTTTCTATTCCATAAATCAGAACAAAAATTGGTTGTCAGTTTACTTATTTCAGAGGTCAGAGGCAGAGAAATATTCCTTAAATACCAGAAGACAGAAGTTGAGGATCTTGCACAAGCTCTGCCCGTGACATTTATTATTCCCCTGTTCAGCACAGCACATACATAATACAAAGTACATTCAATTCTAGCAAGAAGTGCTCTTTAACTTCTTTTTTCCCCCAATTATTTACAGGACAACTGTTCTACATTAAATGTTTAAATGAAATTTATCATCAAGTGTTAAGCTATTCTGGAAGACTTTTTGCAACTAGAGTTAGGGAATAAGCCTAAACAGTTGCAAAATAGTACAAATGTTATAAGGCTTTTGGTGCAAGTTCTCCAACATGTTGCTTCAAGGCCCCAAAAGGCAGTATGCGTGAAGGTATGTCATTTTAAAAGCTGCTGAAAATTGGGATGCTGTGGTCTCAAAATTCTTACTGATTATAACGGATGGGTGAGAAAATGAGTTAGGAGAGGCAGCTGCTTAGATCCTTTGGGCCTACTCCATAAGAGACTGAAGGTAATAACAAAGGACCTGAAATCTGACAATCAGCCAGGTGTGCTAAACAAGACAAGTTGATGGACTGCCACAGATGCTTCCACTAAGCCAACCATAAACCCCGTAGGTCAGGCGTCACCAACTTTCTAGCAGCAATGGGCCAAAGCAACAGAGTTTTGTTCAGAGGCAGGCCACTACCACCTCTGCACTCACAAATCCCTCTGCCACCACTACACTTCAGACCTATTCGCTGCTGCTTTCATTCCTGCCACTATTAAACTGTTACCAAGACCTAAGCTTCACAGGTTGGATCTGGACTGTAAGCTGGAACCATACCATGTGACCCGTACTGTTGGTAACATATTACTATCTTCTTCATTGTGAGGATAGAAATATGGTGTAGTTTCTCACTTGTGCACCACGTATTTGCTTAATGGAAAGAAGAAAAGCTAAAAACAGGTTTTACAGTTTCTAAAATTCATTTGTTTCTTGATATTACAGAAGGTTCCATTACTTTCATCATGCTGTGTTTTTAAAGTAATGAAAACAGGCAAAGAAACAAGTGGGAAATTTTACACAGAGCAAGGTAGTAAAAGTTGAGAAAGCAGGAGGAAAAAAAAAATAGGAAGACTGTAATAAGCAGTAGGTGGGAGTTAATTCATGAGAAAGAAGGCTAGCAAGAAATCAGGAGAATGAAAGGGGTATAAAGAGGCAGGAAGAGGCACATAGCAATAATAGATGTTATGTTAAAATAAGTAGGAAGCCATCAAACCATGATGTGTAGATTGTGAAATAGTGCGTCTGATCAGAGACCAAACATCTATACCACTGGCTTATTTCACCTTGTGAAAAAAGGGTTGGAGAAGGTGTTTTTCCTCCCAAAAAACTTAGAAAAACCTTGGATTGACTGTGCTCATACAAACAGCATGGAAAACAGGCAAGTAAACACCATCCTTACATCCATGCTTGAGTTTTTAAACCATGCCTGTAAACTGTATCTCCATATGCCCCTCTACATACACTCAATTACCATTCTTAACTCTTATCCTTAATGTTTTATATATCCAGCTTAATCTACCAACATTCTTCAAGCTACTTGAAGACATGAAAGCCTAAAAGAACAGTTCATCTCAAGTCTACGCAGATGGACTGGAAGGTGCACATCTATTTTGGTGCTTCTCTTGCCACCTAAAGTGGCTCCAACTAACAATCTTTCAGATAAGCAACAGGACTTGTTATTACCGCAGGCCTACAATATAGAGATCTTGCACCACAGGTGCTCAGAAGATCAGCTCTCCCCAGTATTCACAGCCAGCTGAAACTGGCACAGTGCTAAGATGGGCCGACCATCTCTCAAGAACGCTTGGCACCCGCCTACCAAAGAAAGTCTTCTATGGCGAACTGTCAAATGGAATACCCTTTCATGGTGCACCAAAGAAGTGGTACAAGGCACTGAAGAGTTTCGGTATTGACCCAGAGTCGTGGGATCAAATCGCTCACAACTGTCCATCCTGGAATTCCCAAATCCAGAACGGAGCATTAGCCTTTTTGTTTCCCACTTTTGTCTCCTTCCCTTTTTGTTTCCCACTTTTCTCTCTTCTTCCCTCCCCTCCCCCCACTGGATGTGGTCATCTTCGCCCATGAAGGAGGAAAGCAAACAATATAAAGAAATACTCATTGTCTGATCAGTTGGATGGAAGGAAGTATCACCAAAAGCAAATAATCCTCCAAAATGCCAACTATGCAAACCACATCCCCATGACAACCTGTATCACTGCAGTATTCCCCCTGGATTGAGCCTGAACCTGTGTTAGCAACTTCTTATCCAGCTCTTAACTTCATTTCAGATTCAACACACATATTTGAGATTTAAGGTTCACGTGTCTAAGATGTCATCTGATGCAAGTGGCCCTGCATAGATGTTGAATAGGAAAGGCAAGAAACGAAGGACTACTCTTTCGGTCATTACTGAGGTAGTATGAATAAACCCAGACTCAGCAAAGGTGTATTAGCAGGTAATCAAACTGCAATACAAACAGTTCACTAAAATACCATAAGCATCTGACTTGCGTGGCTAACACCTGACTAGTAGGGAACCAAAATATTAGTTAGGCAGGTTCTGCTGGAAATCGTGCACCCCCATCTTGATAACTGTACCCAAGACAGGTGATAGCACTGTCTTGAGGATTAAAAACCAAACAACGTAAGTATTTCACCATAAGCTATTAGGTAGGAAGTTTAAAAGATCAGTCAAAGCTGGTTATGTAAAGAAATTAGATGAGTTTCCACACAAGGTACTGTGGACATTAAATCCACTCTGAGAATTATCCCCCTCTTCCCCAAATGCAGAGTTTAAACTTTTAAAATAGCAAAGGTGCCAGTGAAGCTAGTTTTTAAACAGGCTTTTTAAACTCTCTATGCAAGAAAAAAAAAATAATTTAACCTCCAAACTACACACTATCTCCTGGAAGAATATTTGGTCACTATTCATCAGAGAATAATTACTGAACTTGTGTAACATTTTCACACTCCAAACACCAAAGACTATTTTTTCACTTAGTGGACACAGTTCCACCATTAATTTACCATGCCAGGCAGTATTCTCCTGAAGGTCCCTCTACTTCCCTGGCTACAATATTTTCAGTTATGGTTATATGGTGCTGCACCAAAGCTAATTATCCCAACCACAGCACTGCACTATCACGGCCATAGTACTTCCGGTTTGGGAAGTAGAACATGCAAAGCAGGAGAGCAGGTTTCACCACAGCACTGCCTTTAGTGGTAGACACACGGTAGAAATATGCCTTAAAGTTATTTTAAAAGAATGCCAGGCACTTTTTTGAATTCAGATAGCATTTTTATGATTCTCTCTTCTGGTAAGTAATAGCAGAACACCCACACAGGCTTTAATTTGCCACATCCTATATTCTATTTACAATTTAAGTTATCTAGGTTAACAACACATTTAAAACAAAAGGGAGAGAAGGAAGGAACAGATGGATATTTGTAAGTCCAGCACAATTAAATGTTATACTATGATTACTCCGACTGCTTTATTCATACAGTAATGCAGTTCTTCCAATGCAAGTTTAGCTTTCTTTGTTCAGGTTTTGTGTTTTGTTTTTAATAGCTGCAGGAAGATGCCAGAGTTACAGTAAGAGAAACAAAAAACCTTAAACCATGAAATGTGTGTCTCAATTCTTGTGCTGGTGACTAGTGGTAGCAGCAATAAGCTAGTTTAAAAAAAACTGACAATAGATTTGTTTCTCATGCCTGCTTAAGTCTTTTCCTTTGTTTCTTGTGGACTTGGAAGAACATGCTTGAGTTAGCTTTACATTTACAGTCTCCTGGGAGCCTTCTGTTAAGGAAAGGAAGGACAAGTTCCCTACCTTTGATGGTGGACACAAATCTCTAAACAGTACTACATCACCTCTGCTAGAAATGCCTTAATTCCTAGGGCTCAAATACGCCTAAGCAAAATTTTGGCTTTTGAAAGAAAAAGATATTGCCAAACTGCCAAGGATTGTGACACCTATCAGTGATACTCAGGATGTCCCCAGACACATGCCCTTCTGAGTTCCAAGCGACAAACACCCTGTGAAGGCAAATATTTTGGTGAAAGCTTTTCATTCCACTCTAGTGGAAGATTTTGCAGTATGGATACTTGCATGCTTTAGTTGGGTGTTTTGACCTCAACTATTTCACGGAAACCATGCAGCCAGATTCAAGTTACAAAGATACAAACCATGGAGCTTCTACGTGAACTATTCAATATTGTTTTATTGTTTGTATATCCCTAAAAAAGTCAGGGGTTAGTAAAGCACTTCAGCAACTGACACAACAGATAGGAAGAACAATTTATACAGAACAAGATTGCCTAAAATTTTAAGAAATAAATATAGCCATACCAATATAACATGACATTCAGTTCAACATTTTGCTTATAACTCCTAGAACCCATGTTTTCTCCATGGTTTAATTCACCTACTATGCTCTGAAGTCCTGTGTCCTGCTAATTGAAATGGACCAGATGGAACTACTTTTAGAGCTCACCAATACCACTCCTGCACTGACAAATGAATGTTACAGAATCACACTCATACTAAAACGGCTGTATACTAAAATATTCTGTAGCAGACTAAGTTAATATTTAGATACTTTACTCCACCCCAAACTAAAAATGGTCAGCCTGGAGTGTAGAGTTTATCAATGAAAGCCCCAGGCTTCAATCTAAAGTCCTGATACAAACAGCAACAAGCTACCTCACAATTCTGGATGCAAACACTTCTGAGCTGTGAGTGCCAATTCATAAACATATACTTCTTTTCAGGTGCTCAGGTTTGGCATTTGGATTTAGCTCATCATGAGAGCAATTTAAGCTGTGGATGCTTATCTGAATCTAGGTTGTTTTTTTTAACCCAGAATTTTTGTTTGAGTCTCTTTTTACTCTGACTAGTTACTTAAGCAGATGGCAGGGTAAACTGGCCCGTTATAGAGCAACTAAACCAGAGGTGTATAGCACAAGATTTCATAAGCAGAGGGCTTTCTTCACAGCATGTGATGAAGTGACTGCAGGAAGCAGAGCTGCTAAATAGAAAGCACTGATCAGAACACAAAGTGTAGAGAAAGGGAGAGGAAAAAGGTACAGGTACTGCTGAGAGGCAAGGTGGGTAGGGAAGAGATAACCAAGCCATTAACCAATTGAGGGACATAGGCAGGGTGGATAACAATTAACGATTAAAAAAAACAACAACAAAAAAACCCCTGGATTTTAAAAATTTAAATCAGATTTTTTTTTTTTTTATTTAATCACTTTTTTTTATTTTTTGGTTAGGATTTTTAAAAAATAAACCTATATAAAGATAGTTTTAATTTAAGAAATGTTAAAGCTCAAAGATATCATCATGGAATAGGAATTATAATTTCTAATTGTATACTACTTGAGACAATGTATTCATGTAACCTTTTTAGAAGAGTTTTATAAATCGGTCACAACAGGCCCTGGACTATATTAGGGCCCACTCTTTTGTGGCTCCCAGAGACTCCTCTATAGATTAGTAAAAGATTAAAGAAAACCACTCTGTCCAATGGGACTCAGTGCTCAGTCTACATGATTCCATTTAAGCATGTCTGTGATGCTTAGTTTCAGTTCCCAAACTGGATTTGTATCTCCAGAGAATATCTTTGTTAACAGCACCAAATGGAGAGGAGAGATAACAGACCTGATTACCTACCCAAGAACCCTATTGTCTCCCTGCAAGTTTGTGTACACAGAAACAAGCCCTTACCTTTCTCTAAAAGTGCAAAGTTTCAAGAAGTTAAATTAATAAAGGATATCAAACAACAAGAATGCACTTTGTGTAGAAAACAAGTATTAAATTGAGGCTTCCTAGCTAGTGATTTAAAACATGATTTAAATCAAATTCACCCTGGACATAGGGCTTATAAAAGCTAACTCAGGAATTGGGATAAAAATCCAGAGCCTCAGTTTAGAACATACGTAACCCAATACAGTCTGTAGACAGTTCTGCAATCTCCTGGTCATTTTCAAAGTTTTGTTGCATAAGAATGGCCACGCTGATGTCAGTGATGGAATGTCCATTTGATAACACTGCTAACTACCTCTCTCTAGGTTATTTAACCCGTTTAATTTACTGAAGACAGACATCTTTTAATTAGTGCATTTGAAATTAAGTGTAGTCCCTTAATCCATGAATTCTGAGGAAAAGGATGAGCAATGCATAGCAGTTTATGCCACTTCCTAGAATAGGAAAGTACAGCTTCCACTGTTATTGCACATAAGAACTATGCTTCTTTACATGCCAATATGGAAGCATAACTGGTAATTATGAAAGGCATGCAAAAATATAGGTCTATTAAAAACTTCTTCCACAATTGACTTACCACAGATGCACCTCTACCAGTCTGTGTACTACCAAGCCAAGGCATGTTTATAGGGGTGCCAGGATTGCTGTGAGTATAAGGTGTAGTACCCTGAACGGTTGACAGATCATCACGAGCATGTACAACCAAAAAGTCATCAGACCTATAAATGTAACATTTGCAAGCAGAGTGATGATTAGATGGGTTCTTTAAACAACATCATTGATTAATCCACATTCAGTGCAACTGACATACCGCAAAATTGCCAAAGCTGATAAAATTGTTTATATAATAAACATACCCTTTAGTTTCAGTTTCTATTTCATCATCAACCCACGTATAGATTTGTGTAGCTAGAATCCCAGAAACATCTAGTTCTTGAATGTCGTGGCTGGAAGCTATGGCAATGCAGTTCCGATTTGCCTGAAAAAGTTACAAAACAAAGAACATTAAAGGCCCTCTCTGGGGACTCACTGTTTCAACTGGAATTATCCTTTTGCTAGCACTTGTTTGCAGACCACTAGCTAGCTGATCTGCAGGGGCAAACATGTGCCTGTAAATTAGGCAGGTGCCTATGACTGCAAACAAAGAAGATGAAGTTAGAGGGTGAAGTTGAGATACATTTGAAAGTCAGTGTCTGACCGTCTAGGATGGTAACAGATTTACGTTATTAAAATTGTAAGCCCTCTCCCCCTCAGGAGGCCCAGGCTCTCTCTTGTTGGGAGGATCATATAGCTTGCTTATAGATTACTCCATGCATTCTTATTTTACAATTTTAGTATCCAAACACCTTATGGACATGTGTAGGTAGGAAAGTTCTCTCAGATTGCTACCTTCTCTTTCCCCTCTTTCTCTCCATTCTACATAAAAGTTCAATGGTTTGATCAAGAAAAGAAACACAGGAGAAAGATGCTTTCCCCTACTGCAACTCTTCCATGCCTCTCCTTGCCTGAAGTGTACAGCTACTCCTCGCTTAACGTTGTAGTTATGTTCTTGACAAATGCAACTTAAGCAAAACAATGTTAAGTGAATCCAATTATGTCACCTACTAGCAAGCAGAGACCAAACAACGTTATAACTGAACATTGCGCAACTTTAAATGAGTATGTTCTCTAATAGATCAGCAACGTAATAACGAAACAACATTAACCGGGATGATGTTAAATAAGGAGTACCCGTATATTTCTGTTAAGGAAAGGTGGCAAAGTGAAATTGCCCCTTCTTCACTCCGTCTACCGCTCAGTGAAAGATAAAGGTAGGAAGACAAACTTGGGGGAGGCAAACACTGTTCAGTTTTGATTTTCTACAGCATGACTGTTGTGAACCTGGACAAAGGAATCTGAGCCATACTGCAGGCAAGCAGTAGCAGTAAAGCCAACTCTCACAAAAACAGTCACAAGACTCGATTTCTAAATCAAATTAACCCTAACCTGCGATCACAGGATACAACCCTGAGATCTCAGGATTTGCCTTCCAGCACATGTAGAGACAGCCCAGCTGGTAATTCTGTGGAGGGGAATGGGATGGGGGGGGAAAAGGAAGGGTTGGGGGCAGGAGAAGAGCAGATCAAGGCCCCCATGGTGAGGAAGCAAGTGGGGCAGAGGCTGGGGTGAATGGGGCACGTTGTGTGGCGGGCAGCTCATCCGGGGAATGGTGGGGGTTCAACCCTTGGGGACGCAGGGGGGCCACGTGCCCCCTGGATTTGTGTTAGGGACAGAGGTGGGCTACCTGCACTGTGGGCAGAGGACACACCACATGGCTAACGCATGGCTCCCAGGGGTATGGGCTGGGGTGAATGGGGCTCCAGAGTTCTCTGTGCCCCACAGGTGGCACATCCAGAGGTACAGGGGATGGCGCGTGGCTTCCCACTGCAGCACGCACCCTGGGGGAGGAATGAAGGGCATATGCTCCCCACGGTGCAGAGGTGAATTACCCACTGCAGGTTGGGACTCTGCACCCTGCTGCCTTTGCCTCAGGAGCTCAGCTGCATGATGCCATTGCCACCTGCTGGGCAGGCAGGGGACAAGGTGTGTCCTTTGCCCACCCAATGGCAGGAAGCACACTAGCATCACATGGCTGAGCTCCTGGGGGGAACTAAGCCATACCCTCGGGGTACACACAGCTGTGGGGAGAACTGTGCCACCCCACCGTGCCTCTGGATGACCTGTACCAGCCCTGGAGCCCCATTCACCCCAGCCACTGTTCCTGCCCTACTCCCTCCCTCACCGTGAGGGCCTTGATCTCAGCCCCCATCCCTTCCCATCCACTTACCAGCTGGGTACTGGCTGTGTGTTTGTGTCTACCACCTCCCCACACACTTCAAAAATAGCATCTCATGATTTACATGCTAATCTTGATTTTTTAAGAGTTCGTCTCATGATTTTTGACATGATGGAGTTGGCAATACTGCAGTAGCACTGTCACTGTGTTAGAATGCATCTATTTAACAGTCTAAAATATAGTGTAATAAAAAATAACAATTTTAAAGAAACAAAAGTTTCTTTATACTCACTTTATTGACAGCAAAAGCAGTAATGATGTCAGACTCTTTATGAATAATTCGTGCTTTACTTCCTGGATATCCCAGATCAGTTTCTATCTGTATTCAGAAAAAATAAGATGCCTGTATAAGTACATATAAGCACATGCAACATTTGTTTTACAGTAGACTAATGCAAGCCAAATATTTAATCACGTGCTAATAAACAAAAAACTTGTGTGTTTCTTACGTAGCGTGTGTCCAGTAGAATAAACAACTGATATCACTGAGGAAACAACAGAACATTCAAATATTAACCAATTTAGCTTCCTTTTACTGCATAGGGATTGCCTAAGTAACAATGCATCCTTGGTTATCCTAATCTCAGATATTCAAGCTCTCGATTATCTTTTATTTCAACTTTATGTATTTTTAACTGTATTTACTTGTAAGTGTTGGTATTGTGTAGCAAGCTGTCCTCTTTTTAAGCTTTATTTAATAAGGCCTACGTATTATTTAATTTGATACATTAGCTCAGGGGTGGGCAACCTTTAAAGGCTGTGGACCAGTCTGACCCGATTTGAGTCAGACGTGGGCCATCACTAAATCCTGATTAGAAGTGCAATGTGTGTACATGCTAAATCCACAAGGTATTTCTATGCCAGAACAAACAGGCATGAACGCAATATCTGTTTCCAGTCTAAAAGCATGCTGGACTATCTCGCACATTTTATTATTCCAAAAGAATATAGCTTAAGTGTATGACGGCAAAACATTCTCTCTTGATTTTTTCCCCCCCAACTAAAGGTGGTATCCGATCTGTTAGCTTTCTAAAGCATTTTCATCATTGAAACTGAGTGCATAATGTTGTCTCAGTTATATACCAAGGTACAGTAGAACTTTAAAGATGATCCCCCTTCAGGGAGTACTGATATCACTGAATCATTGTTCAAGTTGTAAGTATTATCCATAATGCTAGATCTGAATAATTCCTGCAGGAACAAATGGAAACCACAACCAGGCAATGAAATCCTTCAAAACGTGAATGCCAACAGAAAAATTGGGATATGAATTATGCTTAAGTTTAGTAAGCTCTCTGCTGCAACAATGCAATGCAGTAATACTACTTCACTATAGATCAATTCCAGAACTACTGTACTGAAGTACAGAGAGATGAAAAAACACATATGAAAAGTTTAGAATCATTCTTAAAAATTTCAGTGTAAATATTTAAAATGGTTTAAAAATTTTATGAATCACTTAATATTAGGACCCATGAAAATTATAGTACTTCAAATTCGTAAGCTCATATAATACTGAACACTAAAGCTAGCTAAAAACTAAAGCTATAGATAGAAGTTATAATGAATACTAAAGAATGAAATTAATATCAGACCATGATTAGAACTGATAAGTATAAGAGCCTTGTAACACGTTATACTGTGAGTTGCACAAATGGTGATCAATGTTAGTGTTAGCTACAGTTTGGAGCAGTCACATATTCAAGGCAGTGGGGTCCTGGAGGAAGAAATGATTAGAATTCCCCCACCTCCCTTGTTCCAGGCTTCCTCCTCTGCACCCCCACGCCAACCCCTTCTTGCCAAGTACTTGTGGCTGCCCATGCTGTCTGTCTCAGGGGTTAACCCAGGGGTGGACAATTATTTTGGGCTTACTGAGTTTTGGCAAGCCATCAAGGGCCGCATGACAGGTAGCCAGGGGCAGATAAATATTAATATTCTAAAATTTTTAGGGGCCCTGAGGGCTGGATAGAATGGCCTGGCTGGCTGCATCCGGCCCACAGGCTGCATTTTCCCCACCCCCGGGTTAACCCTTCCCTGCCTACTCCCCCAGGACAGACAGTGCAGGCAGTCATAAGTAAGAGGACAGTGGGCCGGCTAGTGAGGGGTGATCTGGAGTGCTGGGAAGCAGTGGGCTAGATGCAGGCCAGCTGGAAAGCAAGGACAATGGGGTAGGGTGGGGTGTTTTTATGAGCTGGGTGACAGGTCAGAGATCATACTACCCTGGAGTGGTGCATCTTTGAACTACATAATGAGTGGTTACAACTAGTTTCAGGTGCTAATGTGCAGACAATCCAGGTGTTAAGAGCTTCCGGAGCTGCTCAAAATTCCCATATAACAAGGTCCTCAGGATTCTATTTTGCCTGGAGAAGCACAGTTCTGTGGTTACAGCCCATCCAGAGCTCCTGAGTATTGTTCCCTATTCTGCTATTGCTAACCTGAGGATACCAGGAAAATCATAGCTTCTGTGCCTCAAATGACCTAGCGATAAAATGATTTTGACATTTACTTCTCTGGCATTGCTGCTTTACACTTTACAAGCCGCCTGAATTTAAGTGGCACACAAATGCAAACCATTATTTACTTATACAATTACTACAAAAACTACATTTTAGAATGTATAAAATGTATACTGCTGACTAACACAAAACACGTTTCAGTGCAAATGAGAGACTAGAATTTGGTTTTGATTTACAAAATGTCCTATACAATGTTATTGTTCTAACTTCTTATGAAGCTCAGATTTCAGTTTAAATTGTTACACAGCCAAGTTTTCAAAAGGAGTTAACAGTGAATATCAGTTTTATGTATGTCAACAGTAAGTTTTACCTCTAGAAAGACTAAAATGTTGAATTTAATTTTAATATTATGATAATGTACCTTATTGTTGATGGGCTCCTCCATCATAGAATTTTTGACGGTTTCACTGTGGTCCTCTAATGACTTTACCAAGAAAGAATAACCACATGACAAAAATTAAAGATGAGATGCAACATGAAAAACACTGTGGTAATCCTTAATCCTATGTTAATTTTCCCGACACACAACAATTAAGACAACACACTGATTTGCACAGATAGTTTACATACATATATATTTGGTTAAGTATGTATTCTAAATTTAAGTTTGCTACAGAAATCATTTTAATTATGCTATATAATAGCTTATCAACTTCAGTTCTCAGTTGTCTGCTTAAAATGCTGGACCTCACAGATGACATTCTCAATGCATTAACAGTAGTACAGGAACGTGGCTAGACACCCTGGGCAAAGTGGAAAAGGTAATTTCCAGTAGTCACTGCAATCACAAACGTGTGGCTACCGGCAGCAGCCACATGTTTTTGCACCCTCCCTACACCACATTGTTACCCTGGGTGGATACCCCTATTGACTCCACCTGTCTATTAATAATAATCAAGAGCCGGATTTACAGGAGTTTAAAATGCCATTATCGCTTTAAGGACATGGCTACCAGCTCTGCTCTATTCTGAGGTGGCCACTGCAATTGCTTCTGAAGCACTAAGAAGCACTTTTGAAATATTTGGTATCACCTTTGTCCTGTAGAAAAAATGAATTGTTATCAACTTTAAATAAACATTTGTCAGAAAAATGCCTTGAAGGGAGAGGAAAAGAAACATTTTCAGTTATTTTCTCCACTGTCTTGTTCCAGTAGTGCCATGACCAGAGAAGAATGGGTTAAGTTTACTCTTGAATTATTTGCTCCAGGGGATAACTTGAGAGTGATCGTTATCACCAGCTCAGTATAAAGCAAAAGCAGTTTATGATCAAGAGTCTGGATTGACCAAGGGTTACTGTTTTCAGGGTTATTGTTTTTCTTCATACTAACAAAATCAAATACAGCTAAGATGTTATAAGTGAATGACCACACAAACATACACATCTGAACTTAACTGTATTTCCTGAGCACACTGAAGAATACAGCACATGAATGAGACAGTACTAATGCAGCTGGCCCACAGAAATGACTACAGTGTATTGTAGAAGCATACAAGGCAGCTTTAAACTAGCAGTACAGCTGAAGCTACAGAGAAACAGGACAAGTTAACCCACCCTTATGTCTTTGCTGCTCTGGCTAGATTGCTACTTTGCCCTTAGCTGTCCATATTACACTTTTTTCTGATTCAGTTGTTTCCCCCCAATTTCTCCCAGTCAGTCTTCTATGATGTGGACTACTCATTTCTTGCATCACTGTCTTGTCAAATACTGTCATGAAGGATACACTGTGGATAGGATTCAATGCAAATGGAGTAAGAAGCATGGAGGAGGAGAATAAAGGAATTAACTAGCAGTTGAAGCTGACTTGAGATGCTTTCAAGCAATGTGAGGTTAGTTTTTCAAGTCATTTTAAATTTTAGTTTTAAAAAAATTATCTGAAAGAAGGAAAAATGGGGAAATTGTAGGAAAAGGTTATAGGAAAAGAAAGAACAGTAAAAGCTGTACACTAAACAAACTACATCTAATCACTGAAAAAATGTAACAGTCCCTACCCTACATTAATTTTTATTCTAACTTATGCTTAAAGAACAAAATAGCTTTAAAATACCATTAACAGGATAACTCGGTCTGAAGGAATACCACCTTTTGTTGCACTGCAGTGTTCTGAGGTTGTACTAGGTAACATTTCACCACTATAATAACTAAGTTAAGGTTTGATGTGATTTGACTGTTAGTGCTATCATTTTCATTGAGTACTCTGAATGTTCGCATAGGGAAACCTGATTAACTGTTTTATTTATTGAGGCTGAAGAGAGAACCCTTATAGAAGTTTACACATACTTAACTGAGAGAAGTGCAGTAGCAAGTATGTGGTAGAGGACAGACATTTTTGTACACCAATTTCAGCTAACCAGTTTATTAAAAACTGCGTACTTAAAGGAAGAAAAAAAACAGCTAGACTATGGCCTGGTAGGGTACAGATGTACCCTATCAAGTGCTGTACCTGGCACACTGGAGTGCTGCATTTATTTTGCTTCTTTAAAACTAGAATGCAACAGGGTGCAATTCAGTGAAAAACTGTAATAACACACAAACTAAGCTGGTCAGGAGAAATCAAATTTCAAAGCTTTGCTTAATTACGTTACAAATCAGAATCTTTGATTGATAAAGTTTTATAGAAACTGCCACTCTTTTTAAGGTAACTTCTACCAATAGCTTGAGTCAACCTATTATTCTAGCCAAGGGTTTATTTTATGTCATTCATGAGGCAGATACTGGCTATTTTCATTTTGAGCAGATGTATAGCAAGCTCACACACCAACACAACGAAGTTTTTTAAAACAGCAGATTTGGATCTAGGCACGTCCTCAAATACCAACCATATTACCTATACAAGTCTTTGTTCTGTGAAAACAAGCATTCAGATGCCATAACTTAATAAAGGCTTAACACATTATATATATTTTGCATAATATACAGACCTCATTGAGGCATCTTTTCTTCGTAAATATATTTCGGATAAATGTTTCCTGTATTACTTCCTGCTTAACCAGGTACTGCCAAAGCCTCTTCACAGACAACGCAACATGACTTTTAGATCTGCTGATCAAAGTTTAAAAAAAAGTTTATGCTATCATGCTAGTAATGAAGTTCTAAAGTAATTCACATAAAATTCTACCTAAATAAAGTGAGGAAAAAGAAATGTTAACATTATGACAAATGGATAAAAGCAAATCAAGAGTTGAAGCATCCATGGATCACTGTCACAGATTAGCACGCAAATATTTACGTCTAATAATCTTGTATTGCAGCATGAGTGCTGAATGTTATACTATACAATCAGTTACTTTAGAAACTGGCAAAATCCCTGCACAGGGAGAGAAACAAACTTAATAGTATCAGCGTAAATTCTCAAGTTCCTAAAAATGCTGAGTTCTTGCTCTTGTCAGACAGGGCATTTGTAGATAACACAGGGGTTTAGATTGAAGCGGAGGTTTTTTAAAAACAGTGCTTGAATTCAGGGAAAAGTAAACCCCTGCGACATGCACACTCGTGTCCTTACCTGCCTCTCCAGAGGTGGGGAGGAGAGAGCGAGCTGCCAGTGGGCCTGAGCTGCAAGGGCCGAGGGTGGGTGGGGGCGGTGCTTCCTTCCACAGCAGTGGCAGGGCCCCCCAGGCAGCACGCACCCAGAGGCACCCAGCTTGGGTGGTCCCAGGGGGCACTGCAGCTGCAGAGAAAAGCACCGGGCCCCAGCACAGCTCAGGTAGGCAGGCAGCCAGGCAGGCTCCAGGGAAGGAAAAAAAAAGACGAGGCTCACTGATTTTTGCTTTTTTGTTTTTCTTTCCCTTCAGTGCAGCCTGCCTTCCTGGGCTGCTGTGTGGCTGCCTGCTGGGGCTGTCTGCACAGACTCCTGCGCTGTACGGAGCCCAGTGATTCCCGCCGCGGCTGTAAGGTAACAAAAACTCCTCGGCAGTATTTTAGTTTGCTGCACCCCGAAGTCATTTGTTGCGTCCCAAAGTCATTTAAGACACATTATGCACCGAATTTGCTGCACTGGCTGGAATTAACGTGCAACATGCCGACAAATTTGCAAACTTGTGCAAACAGCAACACAATTAAAAAGGTGCAAAAGGGCATTTAACTGCTTTAATCCATCGTCTACAAATGCCCATAGATTTTATCCCATTTGACCAATGTCCTTGGGAATAACAGCAGCTAATACTGACAAACACTGAAACAAAATGGCGAAACAGTTGCCAGGATATCTGTTCTGGAATATGAACAACAGACATATCACTGCATATCTACGGGAAATTATTTCATTACAAAAACTTAAATTATTGTATAAAGTATGTTTTGAAGCTATGTAGAGAAAAAAAAAATCTTTTCTCCTCCTCTAGTTTAGGTTATGTTAAATTTTAATAATTTAATCAATGCGCCTTATTATTTGTACTTGAAGATTGCCAAGGGAAGTGGCAAAATGAAATGGGATTGTAACCTCAAAGCAGACATACCTGAACTTGCTCTCTACCAAAACAGGTTGCACTTTCATATAGCTTGTGAACGCTTCATATTTTAAACAAACTGAATAAAAATGAGCCTTCCCTGTCAATTGGAAAACTGCAATTTAAATGTGGTCCTTGCCATTTTATGCTTTCTGTTAGTTTCCTCATCCCTAGGAAATACAAAGCAGCAAAAAACCAACCACCAGAAGATCTCTCCAAGGTGTTGGAGCCTTCTGAGCACTGGGAAGCATACAAAAAAATATTGTTTTTGGCTGTCAAAGAAAGGAATTCCATATTTTGGAAACTGATTATTCTGTACATATCCCACAATTCTTGAAAACTCTAAGCTAAGTTCAAAACCATGAAGGAATCTGGAAGAACTCCCACTCCCACACAGAAACAGTGGCTACTAATTATTCCTATGCAATGTACAAAATGGTTTTACGGAATTCTTATTGTTTTCACGAGACCAACATACTAAATACCCAAATTTAATACTGTGCAAAACAAATTCCTTAGATTGTGCTGATGGTTTGAAATAGCTAAAGGAAACCTCTGGAGTGCTGGATCGATTCTGGATTTATTTGACAGAATGAACCCACAGCCAATTTGGAGAGAGAGCAATTTTTAGACTTCTAGAAATCGCTCTAAATGGAGCTGTTTTTCAAAGGAGAATGTTTCAGTCAGCTCTAGCATAGGGACCTAAAAAAGCAACTTCTCATGATTTCCTGTTTTAATGACAAACTTGATATAAAAAAAAAAAGAGGTACAGAGTCTATATTGCCCTATAAAACAAACACTTTGCTGACACTACATTTTTAGCTTTATGATGCAATATCAAATCCATGATCAACATGGATAACAGCTGGAAAGTTACTTTTTCTTTTGATTTATATCCTATTCAAAAGGGTGCAGGTGGAGGGAGGGGTTATACATTTTAGATACTATCCTAGATTTGTTCTGATCTGTTTGATATGAACTTGTTCACAATGGGGATGAAAGATTTAGTACATTCTTCCTGTCCATCACCCATAGAGTCATACACCAAAGTGACTAAAGCTCCCTACTGTAGTACTGAAGCAACAGCTTCCATAAAAGCAGTAATAGTGAGATGAGTTTTCGACATCAGAGTCTGAGGACCACCAAATCGGACTGCTCTCTCTGCAGCTGATATTTTCACATCAGAGCCAGACTCAGAAGAATGCATATACCTGTTTAACTATGCATATCATTTGAGCATTCAGTTATAAAAGAAAATCAAGCATTTGCCCATCCAGATGGGCTAGATATGGTTCTAATGGGGCATCTTCACTTAACGTTATAGTAACCATACATGCAAACATGTATTTCTGAAAGCATCTAAAAGGCCCATCATTTGCCTTATGAAGGAAAGGTAATGAATGACTATGATATACATTAGAATGATTATAAAAAAAGTATATAAGTCACATGCACACCTGAAAGGAGTGTTTGTAGGTTCAAGCAAAACCTTGTGGCGAAGGAGTGCAGGACCTGCAGATAATGCTTCCTCAGGTGCATGAACTGAAATAAAATTTTGAGGGGGGCCACCGTATAACTCAAGCCGTCGGAGAAGAACTTGCTCCCAGCGCTGAAGTGTCTTTAGGACTGCATGACACAGTGGGGAGCTAACTGGAAGTTCTAAAAGGACAAAGCAAAGAAACGTAAATTATATTGGCATCTTAGTGTGAATTCCTCCACTAAAAATCTATATTGCAATGAAGCACTTTCTAAATTCACTTAACACGATGAAAGTAGAAATCGGAATGTAAAGAGATTAATTACCCTGTATTGCTTTATAGCAGACTGAGATATGGAAAAGGAACCAAGATATTTAGAACAGAGAAGTAAAACAATAATATAAATTATGTATTGTGAATAACAAAATAAGTACAGGATTAATTAATCAGTAAGAAATACTAAACAGCCAGTAAGACATGTTACTGACAGCTATAAGTGATTACAAGGTAGACAACAAACTCAACAGAACATGCAAAAATATCCCCAAATAATCAGGCTAATGTTTGTAGTCTCTAAAATCAAAATAATCTAACTGTTGAATGGTATTTTACAGTGTACCAGTCTCTCTAAAAAAAATAAAACAGCGTCAGGATAAAGCCAGCCAAAGCAACTGAAAAAAGTCAACTATGCTGCTAGATTACCTGAAAGATCATGTCCGGCCAAGGGATAGAAAGTCTTCAAATTATGAAGCACCATCTGAATCATAGTCAATCTCATCAGTGACCAACTATAGAAATATAATAAGTCATTATGATCTCATATTATAATCTTTCTTAAAAAAAAGCTTGACGCTTCTCTATAGTCAAAGATAGGACTATTTCTAGATTTAACCAAAAAAATGGTGCCGCTGGCCAGATGAGAGGCGTGGTGCCACTCTGCAGGCTAGTCTGGACCCATACACCAGAGCCAGGGCACAGTGCTGGTCTGACAGACAGCTGATACAGTGTATGCCGACACCAGTGCAGGGCTTGTGCAGGAAGCCAGCAAAAGGCGCACGTGAGGTGCTGGCCCCAGAGCCAGAGCGCAGGGCTGATTTGGCAGGGTGCATGTGGCCTGGATCAGCTCCTCACGCCACATACAGAAAGACCACTGAATCCATCCCCATGTCCTGCATATAAGACATGCCAGCACTGGACCGGGGCTTGCGCTGCACAAGGCACACAGAGGCAGCCTGGGGCATGAGCTGATACAGTGCCAACATCCAGACTGGTCCTGTGCACTGGCTCCAGCACACAGGAATGGTTGTGGGTAGGTCTGGCATGGGTGCCAGGTGCAGCACTCGCCAGACCAGCTCCATGTGCCAGGGCCAGCGTGTACTACGTGCAGTAAATAGTGAGATGGTCTAACAACCACAGGCCAGATCCCAAGGTCCAACAGTTCCAGTCTGAGGGCCATACCTCTGATACTCCTGCTTTAATTATATTGTAATGTTAAGGATACCTTGACTGCCAAGGCATTTTAATTATTATCATTAATAATATTAATAATAATAAATAATAATAAAGAAACCATCAAAATATTGTGCTTGTTTATTGAAAACTAGGCATTCTATAAACATTCCTAAGAAACACTTACATTTCTTGAGTTATTGCCATATTTTCTCATCCATAAAGTACCTAGAAATATACTTGCTGTCAACAGCATCAGAAAAAAATATTAAAATTAAGTCTTTTATACCTGTATGAATTTGAATTAGAATGCTCCTGAAGTTGTGAATCTGATGCAAAAACATCTTCCTCCCCCTCCTCATCATCACTTCCTTGGCTCTCCTCTGAATCATACTCTACTCGACTTTGTGAGGATGGAAGAAAAGGCTAAAAATATATATGTATGAAAGAATGTAATCAGAAAAACTATTTCTGTCGAAAAGCATTTTGCTCGTTTAAAACACAAACATAGTGACATCATAAAATTAAACACATTCTTGTCATATCATATCAAATCAGTCATTACAATAGTTTGAAATATATTCTTTATTAAAATAATCATTCTGGAATTAGTACAGCTGCCACAAACCCTATACCCATCCACCCATACCCCCCCACCAATATACAAAAGTAAGACTTCATTTTAAGCTATTATGCAATCATCTCTATGTACACTACACAAACACATATAAATCAGGAAAACAATATTTTTTTAAAATCAAATTAATGTATGTTTGATTTTTAGAATATAATTTGTCTTTTTTCTTGCTCCAAGATGGCATATCCCCTAGCTAAAAGGAATACTTCTGGGGGAAAGGGGAAGGGTTGGAATTTCCGGGTTCAAGATGGCAACCAGGGTGGCGGGGCAAGGGGCGAGGCTACCTTTGTGCCCCTTGACAGCTCACCAAGAATTGTTAAGTGGCCCTCCAGCTGAAATAACCGCCCACCCTTGCTTTACTCCTATTCCATTATGGATATTCCTTTCACAAATTATATTAGGGGAACCGTTGAGGAATACTTTATAAAAGAGCGCAGACATCACAGAGGAGGATAGAAGGGCAATGTAACAAGACATGAAAGCAAGTACATAGTGATAGTATCAATTAGGTAAATACCATGCTTATTAGCCAACCAGTAAAGAGGTATGGACACAGCCAGGCTGCGTTAGTTGAGGGGGCAGCCCATGCTGTGCAGTAGGAAGTGTTCAAGGGCATTGCTGCCAGGTATGGCAAGTTTGCTATGTAGACATAGCTTATGTATTGAAGAATAGATATCAGTTGCAATATTCAGAGAGTGGATGACACACAGACTGATAGGATAAGGGGCTGATTTCTGCTATTTTAAATGGCTTGAGAGGGAAAACCATTGTGTATGAAGTGACCCACACGATACAGTAGTCAAAGCTGAAAACCAAGAGGGTCTGGGAAGCATGTTTTTTCCTGTTTTGAAAATGAAGGGTCTGATCTTAAGAGTAATTATGTAAACAGCAGAATTACTTCAGAGGTATAATGAGTTAATAACAGATTCTCTCTCTTTCAAGGGAAAAGAGATGAGAGAGACTGGCATGAGTCCATTCAGGAATTGGAGTCAAGAACTCCCAATCCTTTTTTTAAATTAAATTGAGGAACTGTACTTTATAAAATTTAGTTTGATTTCTAGTAAGTACACAAAAAAGTTTTTGCCTTAATTATTCATTTCAAACAGAAGGTACATTTTTAACACTGTGTTGTTTTATCCTCCAATGCACAAACATGTGCATCTGCAATCTAAATGAGCAATGTTTCAGAACATCATCATTCATATCCAGTAAAGTGGTATTTGAGATTGAATCAATTCCATGATTACCCTTTTCACCCTTGCAAAAATTTAGTGAGCATTATTTTAAGAATATTTTGGGTATCTGAGTAAGAAAAATAGATGATTTTTTATCCCCTATTTTAAAAGCAGAAACGGAAACACAGTATAACCTTATAAATCTGGACATCAAAAGTCTGGAATTCTCGAAAATCCAACACTTAAAAAAATATACTACATTGGGGAGTAGTGGCAGCTGGTCCCAGAGCAGTGGAAGGGGAAGCTTGTACACAGCAGCTGCTGCCACCGTCCAACACCCTGCGCCACTGCTGGTTCAGGCCGAGCCGCTGCTCCCACCCCCGACAAGCCATGACCGGCTGCCACTCTGGTTTAAAAAATCCAGAACCTTCAAATTTCTGGCAGGTGCTCAATCCCAAGCATGCCAGATTTATGAGGTTATACTGTATAACCTAGTTTCTGCTTTATTATTACTTGTCCTAGAAAGAGCACAGTTTATATTTTACAATAGTAAAAATTACCTTTGCTATGAAATAGTCCCAGATACTAAGTTCAGGAGGAATAAATTTTTCCCTGTAAGGTGGAGATCCCTGTTCCACTGTTGGTGATGATGGAGACTGGGGACTCTCTTTTGGAGACAATTTTGAGGAAAGTCTAAAACGTTTCTGTTGTTTTTCACCATCATCTATAGGGGAAGAAACTAAAAAATACAAAATCATTAAAAACTAGGTGAATATTCATGATAGAAGCCTCACAGATACGTGTTTTCAGGATTTGATTTTACCACTTCCTTAAGATGCAAAAAAGCTGGCATCTCTTTTTATTTTACTGTACTAATTCTCAAACAATATCCAAAGCTAATGCAGATTACTTCATAGAACAGGACACTGGTTAAACAATAGGGAGCCACTAGTCTACAAACTTAAGTATCCAGCCTGTCAAGAAGGAAATTGCTATTTTTGTGGAGATGGTGTGCCTTTTAAAACAACGATCATCTAGCTCAGGGATCCTCAGTCCTGACAGCCTCCAGGGCCATGAATCAAGAGCCAATACAACAAATATTTCTCCAAATGATCTGTGGCAACCACACTCCAGTTCAAAGGGGAAAAAATCTATAGTACTTGAACCTTGATTTCTAGAGATGAGTGCAACGTGTGTTACCACTCATGGCTATAGGAAGGACAGAACCATTTGACCATTTGTGGCTCAAGTGCTGTGTAGCCTGAATATATAACTTCTGAAACTATGTCAAAATGGATGCAAACTATTTTGTGATCACATATCAAACTTGCATCAGTCACCTTGAATGTGCACATCTTGAAATTTTTCTGACTCAATCATTTAACCTTAGCACTGCATTAAACATAGTAGTAGCATTTGTTATGTCCTTTGTAGCATGACTAACACCCTCCAAAGCTATTATCATCCATCAATCTCATTAATAAATCTTAACCTAAATAGGTACCAGTTGACCATCTGATGCCTGTTACTAAAGGTGCCTAAGCTGCCTACACATTTATAGACAAATGTGCTAACTCAGGTGACCCCACAAACATAGCATTAACTATCTTTATTGTTAATAGTTTAACTGTGAAATGGTTGAATCATTTCTCTTTGATCTAGGTTTGTTTTTTTAAATGAGAGACAAGAGAAGGGAGAGAGACAGAGAGAAGAGAAAAAAAGAGATGCATGTGCAAAAAGAGGCAAGGGAGAGTGTGCGAGAGACACAACAGACAGAACTGCATGCCATTTACAGAACAAACCAAGCTTCAGCATTTCTTTTAAATCTTAAGGTATTTTTCTTTGATTAGCCAGGCCTGTCACTTTGCTAGTGTTTTCCTGTCTCCTGACGACAGAGCCCAGACACAATTCTGGTTAGAACTATAGTCCCCCCTCTCTAGAATATCTACAGTTGATACCAAGTCAAAAGTTAAAACTTAGGCTGCATTAAACACATGCTTCTCTCCAAAGAGCACATAAAAAGCTTCAGATCAGTCAACCACTACAGTACCGAGCTTACTTACGAGCATGTGCTTCAATGTTTGCTGAATAAAGATGAGCTACTGAAATAGGGTCAGAAAACTATTAATCTGTGCTATGGCAGCACACAGGGGTTTTCAAAACATTCTGTTACAGGTTGCAGATGCTTACAGGATTAGATACAGTGCTCATATTTTTTGAGAAATGAGGGGCCTCCCTTTGAGATTCTGAAGAATTATAATAGTCTATGTTTTCTGAAAGACTATTTATCCATGTTTTAGTTGAAGTCAAAGGAACCCTATAAGAGGTTCTGTGGACCTTTAAGTTTACTTGGCAAAAGGCCTAAGACAGCGTGGAATTCTGAGAAACAATGACTTAGTTCTGAATTAAGAGGAGAATATATCACCACAGTAACAATACAAATCATTTGCAAGTCATCAAGTGAATGGCATCTGAATGCAGATTTTTGTGCGTATGAAGAAAAATCCGCATACCTCAGAAGTTAGCCATGAGACCACAGAGTAACAGTCCACGGTTATGGAGAATTCATTTGGGAACCTGAGCTGATGTAAAAATCTTAAGTTGCATGCAAAGAAGAGGACTGAATTATTGGGTTTGAGGGACTGAATTTAACTCAATACATACATTTTGAAACTAGACTCTTCAAGGTAGGCAAGACCCATGTCTTTAATAAAGATTCAACATCTTTCTTCTCTAATTAATGTGCAAAACCTCAAAAAAACCATGAGACCATCCAGAAAAGCCACATAAACTGGACATATCTGCAGTTAAAAACCAGGAAGGAAGGGAGAAAGAGTCTATGCCATTTTATACAAAACTAAAAAAAACCCATGTAACAAATTTTAAATAGCTATAGTCAGACTAGCCTGTTGGTCACAAAGGACCATGGCATAGCTATAGTCAGACTAGCCTGTTGGTCACAAAGGACCATGGCATAGCTATAGTCAGACTAGCCTGTTGGTCATAAAGGACCATGGCATAGCTATAGTCAGACTAGCCTGTTGGTCATAAAGGACCAATTCATGGCAAGCAAGGTGAAGGAAAAGTATGGACTATCTGGCAATTTCCCCTTGCTTAAAGCAACGTGTTGATATCAGAAGTAGGGTTCCTTTCAGGAGGAGGCTAAGAAAGCAGATCAAGATGCACAGGATGTCAAATGAGGTCACTGAAGTCAAGCAACACACTAAGCAGCAGAAGTTGAGCCACACTGATAAGGAAAACCCCTTGACTAGGAAGTACATTTTGTAGAAATAAACAGGTAATCTGGCCGCCCCCTACCTTGCCACCTCTTTCTTTGTAGGCAGAAAGGGTAAGTCAGGCCTGTTGAGGCAGTAGGTGTCAGATAACCTTCTAAAATTATTGCTTTCTGTATTACGAGCAATACTGAGGCTCGAATCAGAAGCAGCAGCAAGAATGGAGGGTAGAAGTGCAGAATAAGCACTTCCTAATTTAGTTCGTCACAGAATTACAGAATAGTAGAGCTGGAAGGAACCAGAGAAGGTCATCTAACCTAATCTCCTTGTCAAGGCAGGATCTCCCTTATACCCAGAGCAGGAATTGGTCTTCAAAAAGCAGATGCAACAGCAGTCCCTAGGGGTACCATAATTTTCTCACATATCACACACCTCTGAATAAAGCAAGCTTCTTTTTGGGAAGGCAGAATCAAAAATAAAAAGGATATTCCCAAAGTTATGACCTTGTAGAGCAGGGACACACCCTAATGTTCAATTTATTCATCCTCCCTTTCCTGCTCAGGAAGAACTGTACATGCTGCTGAAAACTGGACTCTATGGGCAGACCTAAGATTTTGAAGTAAGCTAAAGAAGTCTGCAGAGCTTTGAAAAAAGAGAAACAAGACCAGGAATAGCTAACAGACAGCAAAATTGCTAAACGACAGATAGCTTAATTAATACAACCTCAAGACCTCAAGAGAGGGTTGCTAATGACTGTGGGGTGAAAAGCAGCTAAAAGGAGATTGGTAGATTATAATGAGTCATGAAATCAGTTAACTCCCTCAGCACTGCCTGAACAGAAATGCTGCTACCGTGGCAGGGGTGGAGGGAATCTTTATTGCTGCTACCGTATTGGGGTGGAGGCAAGTCCCCTAAGGCAAGAGCTCACCAGTGCCCCTGTGCTGGGCTGCATGGGCAGGCGCCCAACTTGGAGGACTGCTTCTCCCTCCCTCTGGGGCAGCTTGTTGAAGCAATCAGCAGCTGAGAAGTGGGAAGGTGGAAGGGAGAGGGTTGCCAGGATTTGAAAAGCCCCCATCACAGGGGTTTTCCCTCCACCCCATGAGCTGTGTAGACCCTGGCTAGTGTGGTCTGGGGATCTGTTCCCCTGCCCATAGTCCCTATGGGCTGATGGATGCAGGCAGGAAGCAGGCTAACAAGCAGAGGGGCGAGACTACCCCTGCTCCACTGGAGCAGGCAGCATAGCCCAGGGCCGCAAAGCATCCTGGGATGCCGGGGGACTGTAAGTTTACTTGAACCAGGAAGGGATCCAAGACAGAAGTTCCATAAACCGATTTGACTTAAATCAGTTAAGTCTGGTACTACATCCAATGAGATTTATTTTAAACTGGTTTTGGTCATTTGGAAAGTGTTTTGTGTGTACTGAACTTCCGCTCTGTTACAGGTTTAACCAGTTTCTGATCATTTAAATTGCTTTATGTGCAACTTCTGTCCCTACCCTCTAGGGCACTGTAGGTGCATCTACACATGATGCTATGTTGCCACAGCAACGTGCTACAGCTACGCAGTATCCACAGGCAAGAACTGTAATGCTGCAGCTATGTTGCCATAGCAATGTGCTGCCTTGTTATAGCCTGTTGCTATGGCAATGTAGCAGCTAAAAATAGTCATGTGCTGCACACATGGTGCTGTACAGGCTGTCACTGTACCGTCGTTTAGTACTTCCAAGAGGAAATACTAAATGATGGTGCAGTAACAAAGGCGTCATAGGGACATGTATAGACATGCACACTGAGTGCAGTTTTTCAGGTGGTAACAACCACTGAATTGAAACCAGATGTTTTCCAAGCCAATCAAGGATACTAACCTCTCAAAGTAGCACTGTATACAGCAAGTTTTAAAAATTAAGTTCTTTGATCTCCTACTACAATTCTCTAAACTGCGGGCTAGAATTATTTCATTTGTTGAACGCACAATGCAGACAATTATCCCTTACAAAATTCAGGATGCTCACAGGAAATCCACTGTAACTTTCAAAAAAAGTCATCTGCAGGCTAAAACCAAGATGTGTAAGTTCCAGGCCAGACGTACCTTCCAGAACACATTTATGCTCAGATAAAAACAAAGGAAGAAAGCATTTCTACTGTGATACATGTTCAACTAACTTATCACCTATTAAAAGTGGAAACCTATACATAATGTCGAAACTTAAATAGATAATTTTTAAACTGTACCTAAGTTGTCAGCACATTTCTAATGTAACATGATGAAGATCCCCCCACCCCGACCCCGTAGGATGCTATTTAGAGTTCACTTACCTGTATTAAAAGATGTTAAGTATTTATGCAGCTATAATAATGTTGTTTACATGTTATTGCTTAAAGCTTATTAGCAAACAGAGCATGCACATGCATTGTGTCATATGGAATTTTAGCTTCTGTTTCAAAATAAAACTTGCTCAAATACTTAAAAGAGGCAGAAAATAACAAGCACTGCATGATATAGAACT